CGGATCATCCAAGTGTCTTATGCGAGCTGTCTAATGGTACAGGCACGCATTTCGTGTTGAGAGGGGTTGAACAGCACCGTAACCTTAAGATTAGGCAAATACAGCATTTTTCATCTAATCAATTTCTGTATTCAAGTGATACCTACAAAAAATACATGGAATATATTTCAAAGAATAACATACACAGTTTTAAGGATATTAACACCTTTAACTTCTACAATAACTCCTAATTTATTAAATGACTGTTAATGCAGAGGTCTATAAAACGGTATCAACTATCAACATCACAGATATTATGATTATTGTTATTATTATTATTACATGTATAATGAATGTAGCTGTGGCTGTGGTTTGTCTCTATCAAAACTTGTGGTTTACAGGACAGCCCATACATATTATACAGTGCAGTACTATATATTCCACACAGTGCTACATTTTCCTACCATACTCGTTATTAAAAGTTATGGCACTGGTGGCAACTTTGATTTGCCCAGGCACGATACTACATAGAATTATGACTCGTGACTAATGCAACTGATTTTACAATCATAACTGGTATGACAAAATCACCTTGAAGTTATTGTAGGTCCACTGAAAAAAAACATTGTTGTATAGTTCCGATTTTTGCAATGCTTTAAGCTATAGCCATTAATGGATACATGTATGTTTCCTATGATGCTATCTTGTTAAGTACTCCTCCCATAAAAATGTTCTGCACACACACACTTATCACCCATAATAAATTGTCGTTCATTCTAGGATAATTGATAGTGAAGAAATAATGAACCACTACTTCTGGTTTTTTGTAGCTCTGTTATTTCCATAATATCTAGAATTTAGTATACTAAAATAGAAAGTTGTATTGGCTATAATAACAATAGTAATGCACAATACTTGTACATTATATGTCCATATTGTCTATTTTGTGTAAGTGCCCTACTCTTTTTTATATCTGTTTACTCCTTTATTTTATGTGTGATGTTGGTGCTTGAGTTGATTTAGTTGAAAAAAAATTTCAGTAATGTTGTTACGTTTAGTTGCATATATATGGAAGTTTAAATGTTAAAGATTGACGATGGCCATTATATGTCAATTAGTACATGCATGTTGACATAATGTCACTCATAAAAATGTAGATACTTTTGTATTGGCCACTTTTATCATCTTCTGGTTCTTTTAGGTGCTTCTATGAACGATGGAGCAAGTGAATATTGTAGAATAACTTCATGGGAAAGCATAATTGTAATAATGAAATCAATTTTTGAATTATTCAAGGTTAAAGTAACCATTGTACATGACTCTCTTTGTATGTTAGACTGGATCACAGTTATTGAAAAGTAATTCATGCAGCTGATTATCATTCTGAAGTTATAATGGGATCATTTGCGGTGGAACAGAACAATGCTCTTTATTTCTTTATAGTGTTATTATTTTTGACAAATTTGGCAATTAAACAATCTATGAAACACGCTATGCAAGCAAAAAAATAATTACAAGACTGGCATGCAAAATAAGACTAGCACATTAAAGTGTGATGCTAATTGCAAACGCTTTTGAATTACTAACGTTAAAATTGTCTCTGTATAAAAAATTTTTCATATGTTATTGATAATGGTAGCAACAGCAGAAAATTTCGAGAAACAAGATTCACTTTGTTTTCCTTAGAACATATGCCATTATTATGTTTTGTCATTGCTAGATACTTTTGTATCATAAAACAGGCAGGACAAATAATTGCGAGCTGGGGTTAAGTTATGGCGTCATATCAGTCAAACGATTAATTAAATGGCAACCAGTATGCATATTTAGACTATTATTTATTTAGCAGCTTCATCCAGTGAATGTAGGTTGTAATTGACTCTAAAGCCTGCATTTGTGGCATAATGAAGGCAAGCCATGTCCAGAAATTATCATGGCACGGGTGGACATTTAGAAACAATGACATTCATTGTGCTTATACTAACATTTACCTTGGTAACAAAATAGTGGTTAGGTGCTAAGAGAAACATTACTGACAGCAGATTGCTTTTGTGAAGGATTACTGACAGTAAGGAAAATGAAATCAGTACTATTATAATAATTATTACTACAAAAATTTATGAGCTACTTATTTGCTAGAAAATGGCAGAAAGGGCATTTGATGGGAGGAACCATTGATAATAAGCTCAGAACAGCTAACTAAGACTTCATGACACAGAAAAAATTATCTTCTTCAAAATACTTGTTTGCTAGGGTTTCACATCACTTTGGTACTTCATTTCGTTACAAGATGCAACTGCAGTCAATCCAATGGCAAAGGCTTCTAATATTTAGCTATAAAAGGTCACTCCTTATAATCATAGTCAATTTACTTTTTATACTAAAACATAGCTCAAAACTTCTCTTTGTTAGTGCTAAGCGAAGCTAAGGCCAGTTATAAAAGAAATAAAATTATGCTGCGTTAAAATTGGAATAAAAGAATGCGGTACATAAGTGAATGTAAAATGGTGGCTCTAATAGTCCTTGTCTTTGAGCTAGAAATGTTCCAGTGGAACATGGTATTGCCACAAATACTTTATACTAAAGCAATGATAATATGTTGTAGCCTAGCATGCTAACTGAAGTAAATTTGGCTGTTGCTTCAGGCATTCCGTAGAAGAGGGAAAACCTATTCATCCATTCATAATGCATAAATTTAGCTTCTGAAAATTTACTGAGTTTTGCAGAAAAGTTCAACATCGTGATCTTCACTTTCTGGACATTCACTCAATCAAGTGTGAATGCTGTAAATGGCTTCACGACACACTGTTGTTTTAAAGTCAACAAAACTCTATGGGGATTGCTGCCCATTTTGAAAAACTTAAAGAACTTTTGCCAAGTGATGGAACATACATCAATAGACAACATGATAAAGCAATCATATTGCTAAAAGTGAAAGTATTTGCATCATGTTAAAGAATTATTTTCTCATTTTTATCTATTAACAAACGTTTTGTCAAGCTTATTGCATGTCTCTCTTGAGAAAGAAATTGGAGAAATTATACATTGTACAAAAAGTATGAAGAAAACAATTTCTTTTGCGAAATCTAAAATGTGTGTTCAACCAAATGTACCTTAACTTTCTCATAACAAAACGGATAAGTTAAAAGTGAGCACTAAATAAGGAAAATAAGAGGCGTCAAAATAAAGATTATGATCGTAATTATGGTCAAATATAGTTTAAAATACATTCTAATTACTCATTACCTGCACCGATTAGTGAA